ACTTGAAATTGCATTTGAATATTTGTTTCAACATGGTTTTATTTGTTGTATTTTGTCCCCATAATTGACTTTTGGATGTTAATTATATACCTAAAAGATGGAATTGAGTGAAAGATGACACTTTTATGTTTGGTGTGTTGAAACTTGAATCTTGTTGTAAGTGCAGCTTCTGTGAGTATTGGCTTAAATCTGAACACAATAATAACAACCTTGTTTCTATTGTCATAAATAGCAGCCTCTTTGTGTTCAACATATCTTAGAGTAGTGTGTAAGGCAGCTGAAGCAGAAGATTAAAACTTACAACAACATATTGTTGCAAAAGATTCCATATTTTGATCGTCTCTTGAGTAATTATTGGATATGCGATTTATCGTTATAAACAAACCGATAACATCCACCCTTCTAAATATGCTTAACTAGTGATTCTAAATATGTATTATATGTTAAAACATATTTTATGTGTTAATTGTGTAAAAAGAGAATTTGCTAAAATGGCAAGTGTACTAGTGAGTTATAAGTAGAACCCATAGTTAGAACGAGATGTAGGAGGTAAGTTTGGTGCTAAAACCTCACAACTGACATAGTTAGATGATGTGAGGGTTCATAATACAAAGTATATTGCCTAAATGGAAATCGGGTAGATAACTAGAGTGCCTAAATGGGAAAAATCTACCCAAAACTTGAACGGTTGATCTAAATAGTGATGTAGAGATTGGAACACCTTTGAATAAGTTAATATGAAGTGTTAGAAGTGGGGGAAGTTGAAAAAGTCGCGTAGATTGCATTTTATGCAAGTTTTACAAATTACGTTGCTATTTCGGTAAACTACGCGCACAACACTCAAACAAGAGGTGCTTGATGGGATATTAAGCTTTGGAACTAAGTTTTGAACCTATTAAGAGTCGTTGGAGGTGTCAGAAAATTTTTACGGGATTCCGAGCTCAAAATAAAAAACTACAAAATTGCAAAGGAAAGCATAACACCTACAAATATGTAAAACTGCTTTAAGTTATAAATTATTTTGTAACGAATGCGTAGGCGAAAACCTCATCGAAAACGGAGGTCCGAACGAAAAGTTATGAATTTTTTAGTGTTAGGTGGTCAAAATGGGTGATAGGTCAACCCGACCCAAAACAAGTTTAATTTGAGAAAAACCCAATTTTTGCCCCATTTTCACTTCTCCAAACTTTTGGGGTTATTGAGATGTGATTTCATACACATAGGAGGTGATCTAACATCGTTCTTGGTGAATCAAACAAGAAATTGAAGGTATAAAGCTCCTAACTTTGTCAATTTTATGTATTGAATCATCTGATGGAGATTAGGGTTAGGGTTTGATGTGAAATTGATAATATCTTAGTATTTTGAGTATATTAGGATATATATTTTGTTATTTAGTAAAAGGATGGACAATATTACAAGAATTAGTTGAATTTATTGGATGAAAGTATGAATGTTTGACTTTTCAAAGTCAAAGTAGTTAAAATGATGATTTTGATAGAAAGAACATAGATTTCTGAAGTTTTATGAAGATTATGCTATTTTATGAAAAACATTTGGATCTGGTACAATATGGTATAAGTGGTTATTTTGGTACTTGAAAGTCAATGTTTTTACTCTATTTTAGAAAAATCGTATAAAGATTAGTACACTTGCAATTGAAAGGTATGAATGTTTAGTTTATTTTTATAGAGACGTCATGATCTATTTAGAGCATTAAGATGGGTAAAAAGTGCACTTTGTACAGTGTTGTCAAACTGAATCTTGATAGCCTATAGCTGCTGTGTTGCAAAATTCATATAAAATCAAAGAGAAATCGTGTAGAAATGGGGTCAGTTCCATTTGAAATATAATTGAATCTAGTTTAATTCATCTTTAGTAGTCATTGAGTAATTTTGAGGTTAAATGGGGTAAAACAGGGATAGAACACAATGCTGTAATAGGAAAATTAAAGTATGAAAGTTAACTAGTCAATGGGTTAAATTGAGTTATATGCATCTAATGCTCATGAAACTTAATGTACATACTCCAGGGGATATTTGGAGCTTGTTTGGTGCTTCTAGAAGGTATCTTAGATAGGATCCCTTACAACGACTTTAGATGGGACCTTTTATTTTTTGTCTTATAAATTGAGCCCTATGGAGTAATCTAATAGGACGCTTTGAAAGTGATGGCGTCCTAAAAACTCAATTTTATTGTAGTGTTTGTCAGCTACAGTTGAAGCTGTTCAAAGATAGCCTTATACAAACTTTCAGTGATGGCTAACGAAAGCTGAAAAACACAAGACTTGGTGAAATTTCTAAGTCTTTTGCAGCCCTGCCAAACGATCTAAGGTGGTAGGGGCAACATTTATAAGTGTGCACTACGGACCTCCAAATTGACATATGTTTGCTTTATCGCATTAATCAATCTCAAGTAAATCACAATTACACCAAAATATTTGATAAAACTAAAATCACCAACATACCTGTCACATATCGTTTTCAATGAAATTTCACCAACATATCCGGTAAGCATTAACTGTGGTAAGAGTCGGGTATTCAATATGTGGCTATTTTGGATTTAACCCTGATTATTCAACATTAGTTGGGTATTCAATATTTGGGTATTTTGGATTTCGTCTAGTATGTGAAGTTGCATTCAGATGTTTGTTTGAACATGGTTTTCATTAATGCTTACATCATAATTTAGTTCAATGTAGAATTTTCTGAGATTGGTTGGAACACTACAAATGCTTTCAATCTGAAGAACTGTTTGAAGCTTTTGCATCATACATGTTTCGACAACTACAATCTACCATGTAAACTACAATTTATCCAAATCAAACCTCTTATTCTACTTACACCTTTCACTTTAAGAATATTGTACGAATATCACTTTAAATTTTTTAAGCAAATAATAAACTTACTTTAATTATGTTAAGTTATATTTTTATTATGTAATATAATTAATTGTATTGTAATAAAAATTACAAGAATATTAATTTAAATTTATGAGCAAAATCGTATATAATGTTAAATTCGCTTTGCATCGAATTAAACCACATGCTCCTTTAGGTTTTTTAAATTCCGTGGGTGGCGTAGCTACCGAGATCAATGCATTCAATTATGTTTCTCCTAGAAGTTGGTTAGCTACTTCTCATTTTGTTCTAGGACTCTTCTTCTTCATAGGGCATTTGTGGCACGCAGGAAGGACTCGTGCAGCTGCAGCATGATTTGAAAAAGGAATTGATCGTGATTTTGAACATGTTCTTTCCATGACCCCTCTTAATTGAGACAAGAGATCCAAGACTTGAAGTAGGACTCACTTCGGTTCCTTAATACATATAGGGATCATGTCATGTAAAAAAAATCAACTCATTTATATTTAATTTTAATCCATTTTTTCTGGCTTGGCTAGGCGGAATAGCCGAGCCACTTCCCTTTCTTTATGATAATGAAACCATCCGATCAAAACCAATCCCATAAAGAAACAAATCTATTCAACAAGCAAAAAATGAGAAAGGATTCAAACCCTCGACAGTAAACTATACCGGTTTTCAAGACTGGGGCTTTCAACCACTCAGTCATCTCTCTGAAAGACAAATTTTATTTTATTCCTCCGTATAGAACATGACCATAGGAGTGGATACCGTCACTATCAAAGATCTCGGGTGTGATGGTCAATCTATCTATCCAGATATATGGATAGATGTATGATCCATCATGCCCATTTTTAAAATAAGAAAACCAAATTCCATTCTCCCCCGACTTCATGTACGAATAAAGTGGTAAAGGGGTAGTAATATAATAAATCATATAGAATCAATGGATTCGTGGTAAAATCCATGTATAATGTATTTTAGTAAAAATGTTGGCTGATATAAGGATCAAATGGTATAGTTCATGTGTTGGTAGCTTGGAGGATTAAAAGCTTGACTCTTGCTTTCCAATTGGCTGTTTTTGCATTAATTGCTACTTCATCAATCTTATTAATTAGCGTACCCGTTGTATTTGCTTCTCTTGATGGTTTGTCAAGTAACAAAAAATGTTGTATTTTCAGGTACATCATTATGGATTGCATTAGTCTTTTTGGTGGGTATCCTTAATTCTCTCATCTCTTGAACCTATTGCCCTAGATCCAAAACCGAAATGAACCCCTCTGAATTATTCTTGGTTGTGAGACACATTCACATTCAATATAAGTCCTCAAAATCCAAATAAATATAAGAAAATTTAGAAAAGTTATAATTTAATAAATAAAAATTATAGCAGTATTAATTGATAATCAAACTATTTATATTTTTATAATAAAAATCTCATTTAGTAAATTATCATAAACATATTTCATAAGACATTAAAAAAAATAGTATGACATTAACGATTATCAAAAAGCAATTTACTATTACGAAATTATGCTCGTAACAACCATTATTTCTAATATAAAAATGTGTTACATCACCACTTTATCATACCTAACAAGTCATCTTATAAATCTTATTAGTTGATGAGCTTTTTCAACATTTTCCCATAGTTTTTTTCCAAAACAAATGAGATAATATTTGATTGCTATCTATCATTGATAACTAAAAGTCATTACCAAGGACTCAAGTAGCAAAGTTCCCTTTCAAGAGCCTTGCAACATCAATGGGATTTTTTCTTTTGCTACGACTCACGACGCTGTATAATTGATCAACATGCATATTAACTGATCTGAATACCCACCGTTAAAAAGAAAAAAAAACCACTTTTGCTGAGAAATGCTCAGACTGACTTTCATTTTAAATACTATTGAATATATATGTTTTTATGGGTGACAATCAAATTGGTTTGACAAACTATTATACATGTTTGTTTTTTAGTTTCTAAAATACAATCATATTCAAAATTTTGTATGGTTTTGCAAAAATACTCCCAGGTACTTGTATGATTCTGCAGATATACCTTCAAATTGCAGGTTGTAAGAATACCCATAATGTTTTACGATATATTCGTAAACGTATATCCAACACAAATCTGGTCTTTATCTCAAGAAGTAGAACGATTGTTTCCATGAAAACCATAGCCTTGTGAAAAGTGTGAGACAAATAAAGCTTTCCCATAAAGTTCGAAGAGTCTAAAAGAAGTCGAGACAAAAGCACAACACCGTAGAAACAAAAAAGAAGGCGCACAACAAAATTAACACTAACCCTCAGTTTACTCTTCGAACTCTACCCTTCCTCCGGTCTATGCTAGCTACATGGAGCAATGACCTGCTAGAGGTGCTGCAAATTCAGAAACAACAAAGCCATAGTAGCATACCATTTACACGTGTTCTCAGTTTGCATACCTTAAATATTCACAAGTTACAGATTCCGAGGTTTGCACCTGCGAATCGTGCCATATTAGCATCAAAAGTTTCAAAAAGCTGTTTAACACACTTCCTTTCTGTCTGTAACATCACAATGAGAAAGAAAGAAAGAAAAAAAATCATTAATAACAATCATCATTCACTATTTTTTCTTACAGTTTTTAGCAATGGCTTTCCCCCAACAATCCCATAACAGAGCCCCAACTTCCTCCAAGTTTCCATACTGCAAATGGGAAACAGCATGGTTTAGAAATGTTGCATGACAATAGACAAGATGATGATAATAATAATAATAACAATAATAATAATAATAATAATAATAATAATAATAATAATAATAGCAGCAATGAAATCGAATGTTGTTATAAGTTATCACCTTCTGACGGTTGGTCAATCCACGGGCCATTCATCACTGTCAGAATCGTACATGACTCGCCATATTCCAAATCAGATAGCAGTTTTGGAGTAAGCAAGAAACACCTAAACATGATGCACAAAAATAAACACTCCTAAGAAACTTTCAACATTTGAAGGGATAAAGCTTTGAAGCAAGGGAGAATGTTTCACAATAACTTTTCTCACTGGACAAGAAAAAACAAGCCAACCACCAAAACCAAACCAATACAGTATATCCCACTCGAAAACAAGGTCCAGGGGATGTATGCAGACCTGTCCTCTACCCTTTTAGGATAAAGTAATTGTTTCCGTGAAGATCCTTGACTTGTGCAAAAGTATGAGTGAAAAGAGAAGAACCAATACTAGTAGATAATAAGCAGCAGAAAAGAATAGGCACTGAAACATATAAAAGTTAGGAAACAAACACGTCCCTCCAACCATCATAACCATGAAATATAGGGAGAGAAGCAAACCTTTTACATATCTATGAATATTACTAGCAAATTTTTTGGTTACTTATCATTGATATCATAATTATTACTACATCATCAGATAGTTAACCTCCAACTCGATCCTGGAATATAACTAAAGGAAATAATGTAAACTAAAAAAGAAATTCTGTCTATTTGTTGGGCAGTGAAATTTGAAGAAAAAGTGCATTACTCAAGTACACATGATGACTGGTTGTAGCAACAACTTTCCAAATGGTATCAATCTCTAAAGATATTAAAAAGATGCATCAATCACACTTTTGGGATCAAAGTTGACGATAAAAAGGATCAGGCCAAGGCCTCGTTTGCATGGTCACCATTCTGATAAAATTTAATTTTGGAGTTATAATAAAAGAAGAAAAAAGAGAGAAAAGGGCAATCGATTAGAACAAGAGTCCCTTAAAAACAAGGAACTAATCACTCGGACAGTAACCACTATGCTATATCATATTTATTAAAATTTATTAGAAATTATAATATATATATATATGGTTCGATTTGACTAAAATGACCAGTTTCTTACAAAAAAACCTATAGCAGAACCAAATTACTCAGTTTCAAAAGTTCTAAACCAGCCGGCTGAACCATGCAACACCCTTATATAGCGTTTGGTAGGCAGACATGTCCGGACTAGATGAGACAGGTGTCTGTCTGGTGTTTGGTACGACTAGGAACGGATAGCACAGAACTAGACAAGTTGCCACTAAAAGTTATTTGATATTATATTTCATATAATAATTATAAATGACACAAGTAAATATTTAAATAATTTAATTTATAAACATTTTTACAGTTTTCATACACATAAATACACACACACATATATATAGTAGTACCAAATTTGAACAAAAAATTTGATATAATTGATGGTAATTCGAAAAAACTTGATTCGTACAAAGGAAAAATTATGTTTTATTCAGTTTGAAAGATCCTTCTCAACTGGTGGAGGCATGGTGAAGATTGTTGCAACAATAATAGTTGCGGAGGTAGAGGCAGTGGACGATGTGAAGATTGTGGATATCGGTGGTGGTGGCGGCCAACAATGGTGGAGGTAGTTGTTGCCGGTGTAGTGGAGGTGGAGGGTAGTGGTGGTGGTTATGGTGCAGGTGGAGGTAGCCCACGATGGTAGTGGTAGGGGTGGGCAGTGGTAGTGGTTATGGTGGAGGTAGCCCACGATGGTAGTGGTGGTGGCAATGGACGGTGGTGGTCGGTGAAAGAAAGTGGTTGTGGAGGTGGTTGTTGTAGAGGAGGAGGTGGAGGTGGTCGATGGTGGTTGTGGAGGTGGAGGTGGCCAACCGTGGCTACCGGTGGCCGCCAACGGTGGTGGCGACTATGACCAGCGGTGTTGAGTGTTGACCATTAAAACAAATATAATATTAAGGTTACATATCAAACAAGGTAGATTAGTAATGTTTAGTTTCTTGTCCCACCTATTTTGGTCGAACAAGAAATAGCCTTTTTAATCCCAATTCTTGTCCCTGCCCTATGTAGCACCAAACATGGAACAGTTGGTTCTTGTCCCATCCCATGTCGCGCCAAACGTGGGACAGTGATTTTTGTCCCGTCATGTCCCGTGTATCAATCGCAGCGTTAGATTTGTCAATGTCTGGTTTGTTTCTGATCTGCCCGTTCTAATATGTTCTGCCCTGGTTGATGCTGCTCTGTTGCATGTTCTTATGCTCTTTTATGTTTTTATGTTGATCTTTTTGGGCTCATCTAGCCACTTGTTATTTATTATGCTAACCATATACATTGCATCGACTTAATGAACCTGATCCATCTGTTTCTGAATTGGCCTTCTGGTTTTGCTTTGATCAGTTCCTAGCCAAGGTAGGTTTATTCCTGTGGTTTCTCTCATATTCTCCAAATCATTCACTGCTACGTACTTGGTTCGACTTTTAGTTGTAAATTTCTTGTTTAGTTGTCAGATGAAAACAAACCCCATGCAAGCTGAGGGTCTTCATGGAAATTGCCGCTCTACTCCCCGTGGTAGAGGACAAGTCTTCATACATCCCACCACCGGCCCCACCTCCAGGTGGGGTATACTAGGCTCGTTTGGTTTGGTTATGAAAACAAGTCCCTGGCTGCCAACCCTCTGGATTTGTTGACTGAACTTTTTATCTAGACATGCAAAGAGGAGGTCCTTCCGGTTTTCAAATTGTGCTTCTTATTTGTGTCAAATTGGGTGCACTAAAATCCTAAAACTCCAAAAAAAAAACCGAAGGAGTGTTTCACTCCGTTCAGTAAGTTGGCCTTGCTAATTTTGTACCGGTATAGTCCTTTTAATATATGTCAGTGGGAAGTAAGTAGTACCATAATTATCCTATGATAGTGATTGAATAGACCTTTCCAATCATAAATTCTGAAATTGCAGACGGCATGCACTCAAGGACAATCTTTTTTAAAGATATTAACTGAAAGAATCCTTACTGTGGTGTATTTGGTTGGCTTGCAGCTCTGACTAATTGCTGGAACATCTTCCTTTCATTAATAGGGTCCATTCCTAACAGATATCAAAAATAGGTAACATCACAATCACTCAGGAAAAAAATGTTAATCAAGTAAAAGAATCGTCATAGTGGAAAGTTAATCCGCAAAGAAGGTAATCTTAAATCAATAATGCAAATAAACATTCACAAACCTTGATTAATCTCATCAACAACCCTAAATGGGCAGTTTGTGAGGTCTTGTAGTGAAACAAGGTAAAGAATCGTTGAAACCGATCGTTCCTACACAAGGACAAGAAAGATTGTAACGAGATATAACAAAAATAAGAGCAAATTTTCATACAAAAAATATAAACAACTCATCATTATACCCCTCCAGATTGGTGGTGAGCACTTAGAACTTGAAGTTGTCCTGCTTGCCTGATATTCATTGTGAAATCAAAAGTAAATGTAAATAGTACAGCTCTATATAATGAAAACTATAAGGCAAATTTCTGTAGTGTTCACCAGGCAGAAACTAAAAGTATTAAATGCCCATATACCAAAATAGTAGAAGAGATAAATGAAATCAAAAGAAATTCCTGCATTCCCTATGGACCCACTGCAGATATAAAGCATAGTAGTCAAAGTGCAGGTCATGACAAATGACGTGGCACCTTGCCAAATGTAATGCACCAAGGTAACTCTTATTATATCAAAAGTATATTTTGTAAGAGTAAAAAATTTCAATGGTGAGTTTTGTTTTAAAAGGTTCATACTTGATGGTAACTTTCAGAAGTCTTCACTTGATTGTCACTTCTCGAGAATTACCATTTAATGGCGGTTTCTCCAGAAGCCGCATCTTGACAATAATGCATATCCGTATCATATATCCAACCTTCCATTTTTATAATCACTAATTCTTCTAATTTGCTCTCCTTCCATCGTCACTCACAATCTATTTTGTAATCAACAAGATCCAAGTGAGCGGATAACTAGGGTCACTATCACATTCAGTGTGGTCAATTAAAGATTGTTTTGTTCAGTTGAGCTTTGTATCACAAGGACAAATATTGGCAATGACAACCTGCATAAATAAGAAAATTATCGCCTGCAAGAAAGCAGCTTCAGAGGTGTGACTAAAGCGAAATATTTTCTCTTTTTGTCTATTTGTTATGCCGGTGTTTCACGGGTAACTTCTCCAATTATGTGGTCAGAACGGTGAGATTTGTTGATAAGAGTGAGAGGTTTCACGGTTATGTCAACAGTTTGATGGAACTGTTGACTATGGAATTCCCTCATAATCTTTTGCCTACAGCTTGAAGAGTAGAAGATTCTTTTGTTCCTTTAAAAAGGTTTTAAATTTTCAAATATCACAATAAATCAAATAGGAAAAAAAAGGTTAGAATAGAAATTACCTGAACTTCACTTTAATAAGAATTCCATAGCTATCAAATTCATTACCATGTTCATCTGACCACAAAAATAAATCAATATAGCAGTTGATGAATTTATTAGAAACCTCTCATATACTGCACATACCCAATGAAACCTCTCCTGCAACAGCCATTTCTTGAAAATTCCTGCTAAATGTCTCATTTATTTGAGCAACTAGGTTTCTAAGTGTCGGGAGCCATTTCTCCTGCAGGTAGCAAAAATCATAAAATTGTGTGATTGTACAACTCAAGCAACAGTATAGCAGTAATCTTCAGTGATCATTCATTGTTCTAAATACTTCTCTTCTTTTCAGAAATTCCAACATTATAGCAGAATGTGGTTCTAAAGAATAAAGCAGAACTTCTTAACCTTCAAAGAATTCAATTCATTTAAACGAGTAGCCAATCCTTTTTCATCTGATTCCAGTTTCGTTGAGAGCTCCTTGATCTGTCAAGGAAAAATCAAATGGATGAAACATAATTCAAAGATATGTTAAATATAATGGACAATTTCAGTGCAAGAGAAGTTTACTTTTCTTTGACGGTGCTCATATTCCTCCAAAATGTTGTGGTTCAGAAAGAGAATAGAATTGGCTTGAGAGGTAATATCTTGAATTGCAGCATTCAATTCCTCAATGGTCGAAGGTAGCTATAGAACAGCATTAAATCTCATGAAATCAATAATAGACCTCACAATTGAAGCAGTCAACACAAAGCACACAAGGGGAAACATAGGCTTATCCTGTAAGGAATATGAAAATTCCTGTAAGGAATATGAAAATTATATGGGTAGCCTGAATTTTAGCCTTCTAAAGCACTGCATTTTTAAGGCTATGATGATTTTCAATTCTGTTGGTATTAAAGGGCAAGTTCCACATCACCTGATATATTTAAAAATCTAGTGTTTCATGTTTCTTTCATCTGGAAATTAGATGTTGAGTAATTCATCGAACTTCCCCTTTTGTAGGTTTCAATCGCCATAAGTTAATATACATACTTATTTGAACATTTTCCTCTAAGTATGCACATATGTTCATATCACCAATACATACAGTTGATATGATAACACCAATTAATGCAAATAGTCCAAGTATTACAAGTACCAACCTAAAATGCTCAGCCAGTCAGCATCAAATCAAAAATTAGAAAATTTTGTTACAATGGGATTGTTTGTGGAAGCCATAATCCCACGGACAGGTATGTGGGACCCACTATATGGGTAGGTGAGGCTTGTCTATGGAGGTAAGGCTTATTCCACAAGCACTGCTCAATTTCCTAGCTTTTCATTCTCTAGATGTCTTAAACAAGATAAAGACAGTATCGGCAAAGGAGTCAAAGAGAACCTTTTGGTAAAAGTCAAACTTTAATGTTATAAACCATTTTTAATCATTTTCACAGTGGATTATAGTTCATATTTCCCAAAAGTCCTGCTTTTCTTATCCTTCTCTCCCCACTTGCATGATTAAAAACCCAGCCCTGAATCAGATAACTTTAGGTCGATTTGCATGAGCAGATTAAAAAAGGAAGAACTCCCAATTTGATATAGGTATCGATCAGCGAATCTCTTCTTTGTGGCAACTACCAAAGAGAAAATAAAGAAAAAAAGTACTACCACTCCTTTCTCCCTCCATAACAGGGTTCAGGCTAAGCCTCATAATCTTCAAATCGAGGGAATGGAGAACTATGCTGTTAATCGCACCGCTACAGCGGTGCTATCACAGTTAGCGGTTATGGGCCAAATAGTGGTCCCACGATTAGCGGCGCTATTGACCACTAAATGACCGCATTTTGAACGCAAAAAGCAGCCGCATAACCTCTATTTGTGTATTGGATGTCTTGTAGTTAAAAAAAGTAATTTTGTGGGATTTTATTTAGGACTTGAATTTGGTTTTATTTTAGTCTAACAATATCAAGGTTTCATTATTCTTATTTTTCTTGGACTAGGATGCCATTATTTCTATTTTTTTAACTTGGACACCATTATTCTTATTTTTTTGGATTTGGACACTACCACTTTGACCCCTTGATTTTAAATAAAAGGATTCATTGTTCAATTATTTTTATTTGGACTTGAACATCATTATTCTTATATATTTTTTTATTGAATACATAAAATATGTTGAGTTATGTATGCATATAGAAATAATTCTAATTATCATACGAGCCGCTATTTTTGGACTGCTATTTCCCATTGCGATAACTGCTGTTTCAGATCATGTCCCTGACCCGCGATTTCATATTTTGACCGCTGTACAACATAGATGGAGAATTCATCAAACTCAGAGTGCCCTTAGACACCTGAAAGGCACGTCTAATGTTCCAATCAGTTAAGCTTTCTGACTGTAAACGAGCTGAATGAAATGTCGGACATATTGAGCTAAAATCCTCATGCAAGTATACCCTATCACAAGGTAAGTATGCTCGGAGTAAAAATAACGATCACTGAGTATAACGCATTTTGAATGATTGTTTGAATGCCCTAATCTAGCAGCACTTGCTCTTAACTTCCCCACCCCATGTTCTGTGGTTCAACTGAGTACATTCGGACACTGTTGTAAAAATATGATCATCTTAAAAACAGCAACAAATAAATCGATAGTTATAGACCTCATAAATCTGTCATGGGTTAAAAAATAAAGCAATGTTAACTTAAATTTGCATAATGCCACCAAAGGGTACACAGTTAATTCACTTATGAAACAACTCAGATGGATACTTAAAAAATAAACTTTAGCCAAACCTGAAGAAATTCCTGTTCAAGAGCACGAGTAATAACTGCCACTGATTCTGCAACTTTCTTGGCAGCTGCCAATTGTTGTCGATGGTCCTCCACATCCTTCTTACCTTATGAAATGTTAAAAACAAACAAACACAACTCGTCAATAGACCATAAAGATTGTCAAATTTAAACCAAGGCAGTGCAAGGACCTAGGTCATTCCATTAAATCTCATTATGCAATGAACACTGTACTAGCCACTTTATATCAAGGAGTGATTAGAAGAAACATACAATTTTCAAAATGTAAAGAAGCTTGCAATGCAAGCTTTTCTTGCTGCTTGATACTCGCTTCCATCTCTTTAATCTGACCAAAGGACAACAAACAAGCACAAGACAATTTTGATTTTTATGTAAAGATTGTGATTGATAAATAACACATAATGCTAATGTAATGATGCTACATGAACTCCCAGTTAACAAAATAAATGAAGATCAAAATGTGTATAAATAATGAAAATGCCCCCAAAACTTTAAGAATGGTTTTAGTTCCCTGAATTTTTTAATAAAAACTTCACCAGTCGAAGTTATTCAAGTTGTGTAACACATTGGTTATTTTTTAGTACCAAATCATTCACGGCATATATACAAAATCTTAAACCAAGTAATAAATGAGTTATGAAATTACAAATGTAGATGATACAGCATGGTGAGGATATAATAGCCACACCAAGTCACCAACGTGCACTGTTACCTGACTAGCTGATGAAATAATCTAAAAGCACAAGGAGTGGCACTTAACTATAAACTCACTATAACGCAATCGTAAGGTCAACAGGAAAAAAATGCCTTCCGAAAGAAAGGCACAGGGAAAGGAAGGTAAGTGGAAGACATGGTAAGAAGAATAAAAACTAACTTGGCATACATTTACTTTTGCCTGTAGCAATTCTTCTTCCTTTGTTTACACTACAACCAATAGTCAATTCCTATAATTTGTTATACATTATCTTTTATATTCAATATTATTGTCTAGGAAGCAGGGGCGCTTCTATCCCTTGCCGAGTCCCATATTGGTTGGCTTTGATTGTGCAGCTTTGACCACATTTCCGACTTATCTCAACCACAAATAGGATATCACGGAATGAGGATACACAAGGAGCAACTTTGGTCTTCCTTTTACCAAAAAAATAACAAAAAACACAATTTGCAAAATTAGAAACAAAGGCTAAAATAGAAAACATAATTATGTTAATGACTGCGAAAGAAAAATGCAAGATGATACAAGTTTTTTTTAGTTTAGACTAATATGGATACATAAAGCAAAAGTAAAAGCATGATATGACATAGGTTTTAGTCTACATGCATCTTATATATTTAAGGTATGAATCATGAAATAACTTGTTTTTTTATTGATTTGGTTTTTAGACTTCATACACACATAAACACATACTGATCCCCAATCTTTTAGAATCTCCTCATTCCGGTATTCATCTGTATCCTTGCAACATAGATTATTATGCACTAATGAGTGTAACACAGAGAGTTTAAACTATGAAGTATGTTAGGATGGTCATTATTCTAACAGCTATAATTTCAATGGCTTAGGTTTTCGGTATAGGTATAGGATAAGACCATAAAGCTTAAACAGCATTGCTGTAAGACAGTAACACCATAGTAGAAGAATACCTTCAACTCAAGTTCAATGGAGGCCATGAACTTCTCAGCATAATTTTTTCTGTGAGCAGTAGCTTGAGTGAGAAGATTCTGCAGTCAGGATATGACCAGAGTCATACAACCAAATATGCCAGGCCATCTAAATAAGTGGAAAATGCTCATTGCACCAAGACATCTACCTTAATTTCCAATACACATTTAAATCTCTGGATATTCAAGTTCTCAACATCTTCAACGAGCTTTGACATTACAATAGCCGCATCTTCTTCCCTTCTCAGTGATTGTAGTTTTAACCTCTTTTGGTCTAGAACAACAGCATATTCAGTTGGAGAATACAAAATTTCTTGACTACATCGAAGTGAAAAGTATAAGAGAAAGAGGCTACTCACTAACTCGGTTTTGTAGCTCACGTTGTTTCCTTTTCTCATGCTGTGCTTCGTTAACAAGATTCTCCTGCATGATGGGACAAGTAACTTCGTTAGGTGTAATGCGTAAAAGAATGATTCACAGCCCCAATAAGAAATATTTACGTCATGCTAACATACACGTTGTTTCTGAAGTTGAGCTTGTGCATCTTCTAACTCCTTTATTTCACTCTGAAGTGACTTGAAACTTGCTTCTAGAACAGAGATGGTCTCGACCAACTCCTTGTTCTTTCCCCTGAGCGTGTTCAATTCCTCACCATCCGTGTCTGAAAAGATGGACACAAGCATTCTCTTAGACATACAGAATATCAGTGTATTATTTTGTGCTTTTCGGGGTTTTATTTTGACCCATCATGTACATATTGTCTCTACTCTGACCTAAACAGATCATCTTCTAAGAGACGATTGAGCTTGGAATTGAACACTTGGTGTTGCTTAGAGGGGTTTTGGCTACTAATTTTAGGGATTAAACCGCTTCTATTGCTTCTGTAGACAAAACCCCCCATCACTACATTTCCTCCTCGAGGGCAACTCTTTTTTTAACTCCTCATTTGAATTTTATGAATTTCAAAGGGGTGGAAAGCCCTTCGTAGAAACTGAATTCTCTCAGATGAAGAACCCATGTTCATTTGCATATACACAGTTAAGGGTTTTCTTGAATTTTGTCAGGTTGTCAGATGTTATTGCCCTTTGGCCAACGCAATGGAGCTGAAGTTCGATGCATTGATTTTTGGTTGCTAAGCTCTTCTATCTGCTATTTAAAAGATTTGACTTTCTTCGTCCATCAAACTAGGGCAAGCCTTTAGGTTGTTTAAGTAGGTTTGCGGTAGGTTGTTGCACTCCTACCCCCGTCTTGGCAAGGTAGGCTGTTGGAATAGCCACCTCCTGCCACAATCAATGAAAAGAAAACTAGAGTTTTCCTGAATTCCTGCTGCAATTTTCTTGTTTGCAATCTTTGTTAACAAATTTTCTCTTCAGGTACATATTCCCATTTTTTGTAAGTTCTCTCCATTAATGCATCAGTAGAGAGAAACAATAGTAAAATAAAGTGATAAAACAACAGCGGAGATGAACAGGGTGGAGGTGAAGATGATTGCGGTGAAACTATCACCAGGTCATGAAACTCCATAGCTAGTGCCAATGGGATCATTACTTTTTCTTGACAGAAAGTCTGGTGAGGAAATGAGACCAAACCAGCTGGAATTCCCATATAATCTTTTAGAAACTCGTTGAATTTCAAACTTGGAAGCTTTATTTGTACTGGCTAAATCTTGAAATGTTTAGCTTCTGAAGTTTTAATTCTTGGAATACCATATAAATGACGGGTTCGTCTCTCGCTAATGGGTGCTACGCCATGCTTGAGAGCTACAGCTTACTCATGTTGTGGCCAGTTGAATACTTCACCATCACCTTTCAATAACTCTTGGATCTAAATTGGAACCTCAATCTATTTTTTCATTGCAACCCCCTCCACAGAATGTAGTTCCATCAAAAAATTCTGTACATCATTTTGCAATTCCCAGACCATGGATTTTATTGACACCATGGTCTGGCATAAACTGCAATCACATTGCAGTACCACCATTTGTGTCCTACCTGAAATTTTTCATTCAGAGTACCCAAAACCGACACAGGTGGGTAGGTAGAGAATACCTAGGGGTGCGAGACAACTCTCTCTAAGGAACTCGGTAACGGAGGCGTGCAAAGGTTTCCTCAGGCAGTGTGTACGAGGCCCGGGAATGGATTCACCGCCGTATGGCTGACCGGCGATTACTAGCGATTCCGGCTTCATGCAGGTTAGTTAAGTGCCAAATTAACTCATGTCTCCCCCAATGTTTGTAGTCACTTCTGCTGTGTTCTCGAAACCTTTATTACAAAGGAAAGGAAAGGAAAAGGAGGAAAGTAAAGAAACTCGTGTGTTCTCGAAACTTTTTAGCAGAGAGGAAAGAAAATGGATGGAAATAACGATAAGTTTCCTCCCAAATATGGGAGGAAAGGGAATAAATTTGAAAGAAACTAAAGCCCCTTAAAAAGATTATTATTACAAAACCACTCAACCTTTCATTTTAAAGGATGTATTTTTTAACGGGTTTATTTGTAAAAGTGATATACTTACTTTCTTTTCCTTTCTCTCCTGTTCAAGAAAATAAAAGATTATTTTCTTTCTTTTCCTTTCCTTTTCCTTCCCTCTCGAGATCACAAATAAAAAAAATTATTTTCCTTTCCTTCCTTTCCAATTTTGTTCTTTCTTCTTTCTCCAAATACAAGAACACAACCACAAGGGTGGTGCCTGATTGGTTTGAACCTGGCTCTAATGGTCAAAAGTACCAGGAGGTCCCAGGTTCAAATCCAAGGAGGAATAAAAATCCCCTTGTGGCCACGGAGGTTCAAATGCGCTGACTCTGGGCTATCTGCAAAGCAAGTGGTCGTCCTGGGATTAGTCGGCTCGCATAGCGGGTTGGATATCCAGGTTAATCAAAAAAAAAATACAAGAACACAGCGTTCATGCCTAGCATGATATCGATGTTGCCCAACTCCAACGGAAGGAAATCCTCTTTCAGTTCTGCTAATGATAGAATCAGTCATCAACCACATTCCCATAATGACCATACAACTCCCGATGTCTTGCCAATTGAAGCCCTGCTCAACTACGCAATAGGAGATGAAATTGTGGGTATGTCTGCCACTGATGAAAAAACTAAGATACCAATCTGATGGGAACAGGATAAATGATGGAAAAGACCAACACACTTCTATTGATAAGAACTGATAATAACAAATTAACATGATAAATGACACTAATGATACGAAAACAATACTAACAAGCAAACAGACCTATATTCAAGAGAGAGGTAATCTCTCCAATCTCCATTGATGCTCACTCAACTTGAAAGTGAAAAGAAAACAAATAAGCATAACCCTCTCCTGCCACTCCCACTCTGTAAATAGACTATTCAAATCCAAAATACTTAAATTGCCTCTATTATTAATTTTTATACTTACACCTAAAATAGACAAAATGGTTTAGGCCTAACAAAATTGCTAGTCAAGAAGTTAGTTGAGAGGGTTAATTAAAAAAAAAACATTTCTTGACATAAGGGAAAACCATCGATCAAGAAAAGAAATAGGGCATTAGTTTCAGAACTTACTAGACAAAAGAAGACGAGAGTCACCCACTGCTTCCACAGATGCTGAAACATGACCACCATATCTGGATTTAGACCAGCGATAGTGATTGTCAGGAGTCCAAAGATCCATTACACCAAAACTATGGGCCATGTCTGCATTTTCATCACTCTTTTTAGACCCTATGTACTGGCAGAATGATTAATAAAACACAAGTTTTAGCATACAGTTATTAGAGGATATAAATCTTATCCACTTCAAAAATATTCATGGTTTTATTTTACAGTTTACCAATGTATTAAACAAGATCAGAACAAGAACATACTGAATGTTCTAGACCAGATTGTCCAATCAAGACCTCTTTGACTGCATACGGAGCATCAAAAACTTGATCAAGCCTTGAATATATTCCCATGGATGACATCTGCTCGTTTCATCAAAATGGAAATAAATAATGGTGCCATAAAGCATGTATGCAAGTAAAAGAGAATGACAAAACATGCCTCCTGAGATATATGCAACGGCTCTGGAATGCGGCCTGCATCAGCCACATGATTTATGACTGCAACATCAAATGACCTAAGGTTCTTGAACAAATAGTCACGGTCAGCAGAATCCTGAGTTATAAAAGCCTGCATTTAGCAACATAGAAAAAAAAGTATTAGCAATGAGACAGCAAAGTGGAACATTCAGATGGATCATTTGTAGCGCGGATGAAAGTTCCTCCAACTTCAATTTAATAAATAAAAACACTATAACAATGGTGAATTCTTTGAGGTGGGTTAAGGATGTAGAATATAGCCTCTTATGCTTGCCAAATATTAGAAGTTAGGTTTCTAGATATCATGTTACAATTATTCTTTTTGCAAAGTTCTAGAAGTAAAATTACATTTCATTTTTCTTTTGATGGTGGCACGAAAGAAACAGAGAAACGGGAAACTAGAGCAATAAAGATTGGATTTATTGCAAATTAACATCAAAGAGAAAAAGAGAAATGAAATAACCGCAAAGCATGTAAGTTTCTTTCATGCACAAGTAGTGAGTGATAACCTCGTACCATAGATATTGAGGGAATATTTGGAGGTAGTTCCAGGGAACACCTAAATCCTGATGTTTATATCTTCTTCAGTACTTAGAAGAAGGTTCCTTTGTTGTAATACAAACACAGATGTTTTTTCTCATGCAGTCAATGGGTAAATAACAAATTATATCTACTTGTATCCTTGAACTCAATATTTCATCTTTCATGACTCCAGGCTAACTTTGTTTTACTTTTCATCGATTCAGATTTTTAGGTGCTGATAGGCATACAATTAACTCACGGACTATTTCCACAAATCTCCTCCAGTTTTGCATCCAACTGACAATTTGATCCCAACATTATGTAAAAGCTACCATCAGCCTCCCATAACGTCAGCAGAAAGAAGCAAAGACTGTAATCAAGGGCATAATAGTCTTATTGTGTGCAGTACTTTATAAAAAGCAAAAATGAACTTTTAGTCCTGTGTAATGAAGTACAAAAAACAAACTGTAGGTTGAAAACAAAATCTCTATAAATCCCAGGGATGCTAGTGGCAAATACTCAACTAAATTCAGATCTTCAACCCATGTATCTAATGGACTAAAACCAAGGGAGGTTGTTCAAATAACCCTCAAAGTTGTGTCCAAGGGATGCATCATATCAATTTTGGGAGTCAAATACCAACTCTTCAGAACCACCACAGAGATCCTCCTCAAATTAATTTAGGCACAAGTTAGTTTTTCATGATTAGTACCAGCAGAATCATTTAAGTAATCCAACAAACGACTGTTTCTTTATCAAAACCTTCTTAATTCCTTCTGTCCTACCTGGTTCCATATGCATAGGTTATAATAATATAAACTTTGCGCCTAATGAAAGCTCCTTTGATTATCAAAGCCAATTTGAACTCATTTTCTGGAACAGCTGGAGTCTATGCAACTGTGACACTTCAGAATGCCCAGATGTGCTAAAGACATCAAAGCGGCTCCAACAAATTTACGATACAGCCAGTATACAGCTGAGAAAGTTTGGTTTGTGTTTTCATCCTTTCAAGTCCTAACACATTCCTATGCTTCAAAGGTCAAATATTTAAACAAAAGACAACAGAGGGTTAAATGTAGTACGTAGAAGCCAGTGCTAAGCTGGATGCAAAGTAGGATTATATGTTATTGAAGAGTTTTAAAGCTTTTCGTCTGTGATGAAATCAAGTGACTTGCAATCATATACGATATTTACTCTCCTTTTAGCTAGGATGTAGCCAACTCAATGATAAAGGTGATCACCTTAATATGAAACTGAAATTTGAATATATTTTAAGTTCGTAAATGTTTTCGGTTCTGAAAGAAGCTTTCCTAACTGCTTTCATTGGTTATTATTAGGAGTTACAACCCTCAGGTGACACTAGGAACAACATATTCCTCATGAAGCAATAAGCCATTTGATTAAGGTCACATAAGTATGAGAACTGAAGTGCAAAAGGTCTGAATAAAGGTACCTTCCATATGTAATACGGAACATGACTCTCTAAGTAGGCAGCATGAAGCTGGTTTGAGATGTTGACCTGAAGCATTGTTGATACCAGTTTAAGAAAATAAAATGAAAATATTCAACAAACAGAATGCCACAATCTACTTCTTTTACGCAAGTGAGTTAAGTACCTCCATTATAACAGGACCATAAACCTCCCTCTTAAATTCATGTCGGTGGGATTGTACCCAACTATAAGCATCAGATATTTTTTCGGCTCCAGAATTCCGTAATGCCTGTAAACGTTTGTTTTTAATATTTTCCATCTCCCTTAACCTACAAAAGTACAGGAGAAGCTGGATGAAATGCAGAGAGAAGAGATAAGCAGATGCAACACTGTCTTTGCCTAGAGTTGATCATTCACCTTTCTGCAGATTGTCTTGCTAACGCTCTATTTCGATCTAAAAGTTTCTCCTTTTCTTTCTTTTGGTGTCTCTTCTCTCTTGCAGATGCTTCCAACTCTAATATTTCTGCCCCTAATTTTTCCTGCAAAGATAGATTTCCAATAATTACAGTTCCAAAATGTGTTCCAATGAACATCTGCAAAAATTGCAAACGTAATTCTTTTTTAATGTTAAATGAATATTTCTTTTATGAAGCTCTTTTGATTTTGTCGCAATTGAGGCAAGGGCAAAAGAGATTTGAACCTTGCATCATTCTGCATGGAAGGGAAAGACCTATTATGATAATCAGATTTTATTTTAGTGAAAAGATAGTTATTATAATCAGATGGCTGGAAGAAATTGATAATAGTCATACAAGCTAATGAATCTGCAGCTATTGGGCCTCCCAAAGCGCTTCATTTGCAATCAGTGTCACTAAATCCATTTGGCTAATTGTTCATCTTTTTTAGCATAATCCATGCCTGATGGCATCTTAATCAAAATGGATATCTTCTTTTTAAACCCCTATCCACTAAGAGCTTACAGTTGATATTTTTCCATCCATAAAATATTTAAAATCATTTGAAACATGCTTTCAATTCAGTAGTAAGGTAGCACCTGCTTCAGGCATAAGTCTCGATAATGTATCGTCAGATGATCACTTTCAACTGGTTTGCGCTGTTCCAGCACCTTATCCATTTTACCCAATTCCGTCTTCCTAGTACTCAGGACCAACAATGCTTTACTCAATCCCTCACGAGGAGTGATCTCTTAAAACAACAAGGATGGTTCCCTTTAAGGTTACCATGTGAGTTTGGATTATTTATACATCTAGCATTGTTGTTGGTACTGGTATCATCAATTACTTTAACTGGTGCAATTATTTTGACAACAATTCTCACTGGTTTTGCTTAAACCATCTTCAGAAATTTTGATTCTTTGGTGTCTCATTTCAACTGAATAATGGACTTTTTCTATCTAATTAAATTCCAAATATATGTATACATAAAGAAAGAAATGACCAGCCATGAACCGATATACATATAAAGCATCCTAAAATGACCACTAGCATCCCCCCACCCCCATCTCTTCAAAAGAAGCCGTCCAAGAATCTCCTTTTGAGTATCAACCAAAGGAAATTGGGAAACGTGTCTGGTGTTAGTCTGTGGAAGCATACTGTCATAAAGCGGGATGTTAAACAGTTTGTAGCAGATTAAGCATTGAATGAGCCTAAGCTTATCTCGGTTATATTGTAGACACGATAAGTTGATAGGAGAATCAATCAAGAATCTCATTTTAAAAAAACAGAAGGAACTAAGTGAAAGAAGTATGACTCACAATTTTATCTCTAGGAGGTTCAAAGGGTGGAAGGTTTTGCAGTTCCAATTCTGCACCTGTGAGATCTTTTTCAGCTTTAATGATTCTCTCCTGCCGTGAGTGTTCTTGCCTCTCCATTTCTTCCATGTCATGGTACCTTCCTTTCACTTTAAGACACTAAATAGTATACAAGAATAATAACAAATCAAGATATAATGCAAACTATTTCTTCAACATTTATAAGAGCAGAAGAACAGGAAACAGAAACAACTGAATCACCATACCAGCTGATTTTCTTTCTCCAGCATTTGCTTGTGTGACGTTTCAACATTATCAAGGAGGTCTCTGATTTTTTTGCATTTGGTATCCTGTTCCTTTTTTTCCAGCTTTTGCTTCCTACAAAGAAGATGGTGACATTACAATCTTACCACATATCAAACATAAATTTGGCTTTTTGTTGAGGGCATGGGTCTCAAATACAAATCTGAAGACTAGTTATTGGACTGCTGGATGTTCTTCATAAAGTTCATGGACATAATACCGCCACATAACTTATAGAGCAATTAGAACTACAATCTCCGTCCATGCAAACTACAATCACATTCACATAATGAACTTAAGTCACCGCATGGAACACCTTTCTATGATTCTATCAAACTGGAACCGACCAGAATAAAGTGTCTTCCCTAGTGTTACATATAAATTTGGGTGTAAACTCCATTTTAGATGTATATTATATGGAATAACTTATATATTATATGGAATAACATGTAGAAAATAGATGGATGAAAACCGAACATACTCAATGGGCTCTCTAAGTTCATTTAGCAATTTGGCTGCGGCATCGAGTTTCTTCTTTGCCTCCTTCTCCTGATCTTTAGCTTCAAGATACGTGGCCTTCTTCATGTCATATTTCAGCCATGGCAATTTCTTTTTCATAGATTCCGCCTGTAAGGGCATGGAATTAAAAAAGGATCTAGAAGTTTCCAACAAATTACATGTGAGACAAACTTGCAACAAAACCTTCGCTAGAAGTTCATCCCGTTGACGAACACGCTCCACGTCTCTTTCTTGTTCAGCATTAAGTGCCTTTAGCTGACTTAGAGTTTCTCTGTTCTTCTCGACAGCCTGGAAAAAATACAAACTGCTTATGATTTTTTTGGAAGATGCATATTCACCTTTGTAATAAGCTCAACACGCTTGCCTGTTCGGATCTCTGCAATTCCGCACTTGTATCAACAAGAGCACGATGCAGGACAGGAAGTTGAGGATCACCTACAGCCTTCTCTGTTTCCTCTAGAAGTCTCACTGGAGATAGTTTAGCAAACTCACACACCCTATCTTGCGGTAAGAACTGAACATCCCAAACACAAACGAAAGGAGAACAATGAAATCAAACAAGAAGTAGAAGTTGAAAACAAAAATGCAAATAAGTAAATAAAACAAGCCTAAAATTCCATAGTTTTATCTCAAACTAGTTTCATATTCGTTAACCGTGGATGTCCAGTCCATCTTGAGCACACCTCAAACAGGAAAATCTCCAGTGGCCCCGACGAGACTCAAACTAGCCAAAATGCAACTAGTAAACTGGTTGAAGTAGGATAAAATGAAACTACTGGTTGAACCAGGTTAAACATGAAACTATTAAACTGGTTGGAGTAGGATAAAAGTGTAGAATAGTCAGAAACTAACCAAGAGATGTGTTAGAAAACAAGATATACAAGTATTTCCGTCTGCCGTTTGGTATTATCTTTTAACAGCTTATTATTTGTTTTGTAAAGTTTATTCTACTTCAGAATGTGGTTCGATGAATTATGGTTTGCAATTAAGTCAAACTGTGAAACGTATAAACTTAAGATAACAAACACCATGTCATATAGCCTTCTCTGTGAACTAAAATCATATAACTGATTCTGATATTATGAGGAGAATTCCTGTTTCAGTCATCCTCTGTACCAACAATTTAATCTAGTTCTACATTCTTGGCTTCACCTCTCCAACCTTTGGATCATGAGCATCCTCATGCAATGCAACTTGCATTATGTGGGCACATATCTGATTTTGTTGTTATTACTTCGTCTCTTCTTTGATGCTGAATGCTTAAATTCAAAATACCATTGAGGCCCAGCTCACCAGGCTATATGCCTCCTTACGATCAAATTGAGACCATTTAACCTCTCCAGCGCATAACTGAATTGGCATGTACGTATCTCAGTCTACCCTTAGAATTTTTTCCTACCCTTTAAACCACACTTCAAGAAGGCACCAAGACTAGCAAACCGTAATATTTGTTTTCTACATCACCCACTTATATTGTGCAGAAAGCTTGGGCTATCTACCTCTCATCTAGTGCGGGATATACATATTTAAAAGGCACATTAATCACCAGACTGGTTACTGTCTCTAGATCATTCACGTGGACAAGATAATAAATTGGGGATCTGTACATACAAAAATGCCAATTTGCCAATTAAGATTAAACAGCAATGTACAAATTACGATGCGATCAAATTTATCGCATGCTTGGTGAGAAACCTTAAGAACTCACTTGAGTAAGATTGTTGACTTGAATATTGAACTTTTGTATTAGTTCAGTAATCTCCTTTTTAGAAGCAGCTCTGCCTGAAACAGAGGTATATAGATCAGAAGTCATGAAAATGAATTGTGTTCACAGTCGACACTGATTATGTATACATCATTAATAGCCTTATTCAAGAATCGAATGTTACAAATGCACATATGTATGTAATTGAAATACTGATTAGCTAACAAGACATTTGAGAAAACTCATCCTAAATCAATAAAACTTCATAGAGATTTTCCAGAATGAAATACATTTTTAGGGTGTAATAACCAAGTTCTAAATTTTAGAGATTTATGAGTTGGAGGGTGAGGTTGAACGTTGATCTATCTGCAGGGGGCTAGAATGTAAATAGCTAAATAAAGGGGTGGAGTCTTCATATCATTCTCATTTCAATCAGTTGGATCAAAGGTCTATGTGTGTGTGATCGTGAGAAAGAAGAAAGTAAGAAAAAGAAATCAATTGGAGATTTTCAGAAGATCAAGTGGGTGAGACTCAATCTCAGGTAAGATTATCATCCCTCTATGTGTTCTCCTTTCTCCATTGAAGTCTAAATTTTAAGGATTAGAGCTCCTTGTGTTGAATGTATTGTTCTACTTGGAGAAATGATCTTTTAGTGTAGAAATCATGAGGAAATCATTTATGTTGGTAAACTTTACTCTTCTATCAAGTTCTATGGTGTTTAGGGGTGAATTTGATTCAAAACTCCATAGTTGTGATTGATCCTACCAATTGGTATGGTAACCCTAAGATTTGATAGTTAGATTGGATTAGAAAAGGTGTGGAATGGTTATATTGTGTTTTTACTTAGTTAATGCAACCTAGCAATGGTAAAATGGATGAGGAATTGAGAATTGGAGCTGTTAAGCTCGAACAGGTCCGTCACAAGGGGACAGAAGGTCCCGCAGGTTGTCCCGCGACCTAGGACGCGTGCCAGGTCGCATAACCCACTGTGTCTGGAATTTCAACTTTCATTTGAGAGATGGTTTGTGGTTGCATTGTAGGTTATTATCTAAGGGAGTTACTAGTATTCTATTATAGGGTATAATTGAAGTAATAACCCGTCTTTTGGTACCCTAAATTCAGGTGTTCGGTTGGTGAAATCTTAGCCTAAGGGTGTGAGACTGGGCTTGGATTTCAGGTGAGTTTCCTTTTCACCGTTTTCTTACTAATGATGACTTTTTCTCATGTGGAAAGTGTTTAATACCTTATTACCCATGTTGGGGAGCTTTTATTCATTGACAAGTGGTTATAAAATATGTTTTCTTTATGCAAGTGAGTGTGCGAATGTTTTACTGTATGGGAGGTGTGTACCCAAATGTAGCACATGAATTTGTTTTATGTTGTCTATATTACGGGCAGGTGTGAGCCCAATTGATTGGTCGTAGGTGTACATGACCCTAAGAGTGTTCAACAGTTGCAACAGGTGTAGGTGTCTTATGATTTAAGTGTGTACATTTGATGTTCTCATTTATGTTTTAAGTTAGCGTTTTGGTGTGAACTTTTGGTGTTAGAGGGAATTCACTAGACCTCCGGTCTAACCCTAGCTTTTACCATGTTGAGAGCTCTAGCAAGGGCAAGGGAAAGGTGTGACTAGAGGCTTAGATAATTGTATTGAACCTTATTCTAGTTTTTGTAATAAACCTCAGCAGTATCCTCTTGAGATCTAGTTGAATTGTAGACTTTGATTCAGTATTTGATCTTGCCGGTTGGCAAAGTTATGATATTGGTTTTTAGATGTCTATTTTGAGTTTTTGGGATGTTACATAGGATATAAGCAATAACTTTTTACACTCTCATAACAACAGAAGAGTTTGTTGTTGATTTAAAAAATCATAATAGCTCGGACCAATGTTGGTGATTTCCATGTACATAAAAACATCTTACCATTAAATAGCCACTCGGACTTGTTACGTGCATCTATTTTACGCATTATGATAATCTTCTCATCTGGAGTGTCACCTCTCAAGGAAATTTTAGTATAACCAGACTCCTCCCCCCGCTTGACAAATGCACCAACAGTCGCAGCCCTCCCAAGAAGCTGCATAAATACAATCTCAATAACTGTTCCAAACCAACCAAATGTTGAAATATAGCTTGCATTAATGACCTGAGGTTCGCCTCCCAGACCAAGAGCGATTGCGCACACCAAAGAGCTTTTACCAGACCCATTTGGTCCGATGACAAGGTTCAAACGAGAACCCGGCTTGCAAACCAAGTGATTAAAAGTCATGAAGTTGTGAATTTCAATCTCCACTATATTTCCGGGCAAATAATCATCGGCCCCCCTACTGAAGAAACATAAGTTACAAAGTAAGATCAAAAAAGCATTAAGATCAATATTTTGCCTATGCATCAAGCAACCTCATGCCAACTGATTACCAACTAACTTGGTTAAATGTCCCTTTCATTACATGGACTTGCTTGTGGGTGGGAGTCCCACGCCACTTAGGTGTGCTTTTCCTCTTCTTTTGTTATAAAATTTGTCAGAGGTGCCGCCCTCTTTCCAAAAGAAGAAAAAAACTCAGAATGTAAAGATAAAATGACAGAAAATACTGCATTTAGCCTCCAAACTTATACATGGGCCCAGAATAGAGAAACAACGGGGGCACCCCATAAAAGTTCATATCATGTAAGCTTGACTATACTCCATGTCAGGGCCAATCTCACTAAAATAATGAATACAATACTTAACTGTTTTCCTTCTCCAATTCTCAGCTGCATCAGCCATAAATCATCGAATAAAACCAAGAAAACATTGGACTTTGAAACTCATGTTAAGGTATGTCATGACCTTTACAGGGATCATATCTTTAGAAAAAATTTAGGGGTCGTTTACCAAATGCTAATGGGGTAAGCACTTACCAAGTAAGAGTCACTACCCTCCCCTTACCGAGTAAGATTATCGGCCACCAACATGGCATAGTAAGGTTGTCGGTAAGCGTCTATCACTCCGTACAGGCTAACCAGGTACGAGTCACCACCGTCACTTCATGTCCCTTAATGGGTAAGATTATCGGTACTTGTCATGCTCACCGCGCTTACTGGGTTAGTGCTAGGTAAACTTCCCCTTACTTTTAAACCAAAAAAAGGTAAGAGAAGTTTGAAATTCAATTTTAAACTAAAAGGTAATATTAAGTGCTCCAAGAAGCACCTACAAAATTAAGCCTTCTAGGTTAGGGTAAATATAAACAAAAGGTCAACTGACGGTAATGTTGCAGATAAGTCCATTTCTCATCATAAATCCACAGAAAAGAAAAGAAAACACAAATTTCCAATAACTGACCACAAGAAGACAAGAACGCACAAAAACAACAATCATAGTTGCACAATAACTCAAAAGTGTTGAAATTTACCGTCTAACCGTTGGTATGGTGAAGTAATAAAGATGCAAAACCAAAGAAGAATGACAATTTTACGATAAAGAATGTGTTTCTGATACACTGCGGATTTGTAACGAAGTCTGTGTAGGCTATAATCAATTAATCGAGAAAAGGTATAATCCCGATCAGGCAGAAAGCTTTATCTTAAATCAAGAAAAATCGCAGTTAACAAGAACATAAAGGGTTTCGATTGAAATGACCTGACGATTTTGGGGCGTTTAGCGCGGGGTTCCCCCATTTCTGAATCTGCGAACACTTCCCAGTCGAGTAGAAGGAGTTTAGAGAAACTAGGGTTTTTGCGGGTAAGTGTGAAGAAGATGATGTGAAATTGGCGCCAAGAGAGAAACTTGGATGCTCTCTTTCTTTTGTCACAATAATTGCTCTCTCAATTAAGGTGCATATTAATTGAAATTTTTAAGATGTTTCAAACTTTTTTTTAAAATCTAATGCAATATTCAATTCGAACTTGTTGAATTGGGTTTATTAGGTTGACTTTACTATATTCATCATACTGCTAATTTATGAATGGAATATATATATATATATATATATATATATATGTTACAGCATTTTTATATTGGTTTTATACAGTTTAAATATTCCTTTTGTAACTAAACAAAATGTTCTCGTTATAAAAATATAACGAATACAAGAAATATTAGAACGGAACATTCACATATAATATATATCATATTAGTGTATGAATTAAAGACTCGACAATAATGATTTTTATCGGAAAAGAAGATCTTATGTAATTTAGATATATGGATTTTGGTCAGCCTTGTTGGGTTGATTGATTTGGTTCCAACCTTTTTTTTTCCGAACCCAACTTGTCAACATCTATAATCTAAAGCATGATTAGTTTTTGGCTTCACCTCTAGTAGTGTATTTTGACAACTAGAAGGCGTATATTAGGGGGTGTTCGGGATTGCTTATTTGAAACAACTTATGTTTTTTTTACAAAAGTGTTTATCAACTTATTATAAGTAGGGGTGAGCATAGGCGGGTACCCGCCCTTTTTGACAGGAACCGGAACCGGAACCGGAACCGGCGGTTCTTGAGATATTGGAACCGGAACCGGAACCGGTTAGAGCGGTTCTTAAATTTTTGGAACCGGAACCGGAACCGCCGGGAACCGGTTCCGGTTCCGGGTACCCGCTTCCTAAAATATTAAAATTTTGTTATTTAGAAATAAAAAATAAAACATTGCCAAAACACTAAATAAATAAGCAAGAATACAAATTATATAGAATAATGGTTACAAATATTGTTTAACGATTACAAACCATAATAGACTAATAGAAAATGTTCAAAGTTTAACGATTACATACTATAATGGTAAATGTTCAAAGTTTAACGATTACATACTATGAATCCAAGTGAATACACAATTTGAAAAAATACGAATCATTTTACATGAATAATTTAGATGAAGAATGAAGATGACGACATGCTTTCAAGATGTAAACCTAATATAAATTTGGTATAAAAAAAATAATAATTATTTTTTTATTGGAAAATACCGGGTACCCGGCGGGTAACGGTTCCGAAAAATTGAGAACCGGAACCGGAACCGTTCTCAATCGGTTCCGTATTTTAGGAACCGGAACCGGAACCACTCATATCGGTTTCGGTTCCGGAACCGGCGGTTCCAAGGCGGTTCCGGTTCCGTAACCGGGTACCCGGTTCCGCTGCTCACCCCTAATTATAAGTTAGAATGACTTAACTTCTTCAAAAACTATTTTAGTACCGGTTTGGCACCGGTATAAATTGTTTATCCAAACACTAAAAGGTGTTTATTAATAAGTCAATAAGTTTTTTTATAAGCAATCTCAAACACCCCCTAAGTCCTCTAATAGTGTATTTATTGACTAGGAGGCATCTAAGTCCTCTAGTAGTGTATTTGACGACTAAAAGGCATATAAGTAAAAGCATATTATTATTGTTGTACAAGTTGGTATAAAATCCCCGTAACATAGGTGTAAGTCAATTATGGAAATTTACAATATAAAGTCCCTCTACGGTTCATAACGGTATAACCCAACTTGAAATATAATTAGTATGGTGAGTTATATATAACAAATAGTTTAAATTAGCTATGTTATTTAATAATGAAAATAATTGGGTCTAATTATTTAGACGAGTGTTGGGCTTCTTCGACCTTTGCCTCATAAAATTTTTGAATAGATAAAAGACACAAAATTGGATAAATGATGAAAATGTCCTTCGTTTAATTGATTTTTTTAACGACCGTTAGAGGTAGAGACCAGATCCGGACGTTTTTAAAAAAAAACATGATGATTATCTTGTAATTTCAAAATTATCAGAACAAAAAGTTTTATTTTCGACAAACCATAGGTACTAAATTTGTAGTTTACACTAAAAAAAGTTATTTCTCATGGTAATCATTTTGAGTTCTTTAAATTTGAAGAATTTTACACTTTCTCTCCTATTTCTCTATTTTTGAGAATTTATTTGAACAAAAAACTTACTTAAAATCTCTATTTTTTTCATTTTTCAGAATTTGTTAAAAAAATGCTTTAAATATAAATATTTCCCCAACCACCTCCGAGTACAATGATGATTTTTAGATTTTTCAATAGCGTGTACTTGAGACCTTTTATGAAAGAAGAGGGGGGAATAAGAGGAAAAGAAAAAAGTATTTTATATTCTCGAAATTTTTTAGGAGGGAAATGAAAAAGAAAAAAAAAGACAAATAAATGATTGGTTTACTCTTAAAGTTTTCCTCCGAATTGTGAGAGCAAATCGAAGGAAATAAATAATAACCCTTAAATAAAGCAAAAAAAAACTTTCACGGAGATAGACGATTCAGTTTCCCTGTTCCAGGTTCGACGATTCTTTTTGTTCTTTGTCTTCCTGTTCTCGTTGTATTTTGATTGATCGATTATACTCTAAGTCTCATTGAGTCATTGTTGTTGTTGTTTAATGTTTAATTGTTGCTCATGAGTCATGAATGCTGAATACACATAATTTTATGTCAACGATTAAGAATCACTTTTATGCATAGCTAACCATACATGTGTTCACGCTGTTTGCTTGTTTCAGTAATCGGTAGCAACCGAATTGACACCTGCAAATGATTCGATGTTTCGGTAATATGTAGCAACCGAATTGACACCTGCAAACCAATCAATTTTTAGTTTCTTTACTTATTTCTTCGTTGATAGAGTTTTTTATTTCTCCCTATCCTAAGGCACGGTTTGTATAATTGTATTTATGATTTACTATTGTTCATCCTTGTTTTATTTTTCCTGCACCTTCATCTTTTTACATCACTTCAAGCATTGTTGATTTTGCTGGTGGTTGCAATGTTAAATGTTTTATGAATTTCCTGTCATAATCAGTGTAAAGCAAGAAAGACAGAAAATATAAGTGAGAAAAACAAGTATATTTGAGGCACAAAAATTCATATTGTTTTACTTGATTTTGCAATGTAGTCATTATTCATCAGTCTTGGACCTTTGGGACTTGGGAGAACCAAGAAGGCAATAATCAATATCATCCTCAATCCTCAAGTCAGGTTGTTTTGTTCATTTATCGTTTTTTACTTATTTCAGTCTCATTATGTCTTCGACTTCTAGGGTTAGAAAGTATGATTCTTGATGTCAAAAACATAAAAAGAAATAAAGAGATAATAAAGTCTCAAAGAGGATCTCTTGATAAGTTTGTCACAAAAGAATCACAATCTTCTCTTGATAATGAACATGTTGATGTTTGTTATGACAATGCTAATTTGGAGAATTTAGTTCTTGATGATACTAATGTTATGATTGTAAGAACCCAAATCCTCAAATGCACTAGTAATCAAAGCTTAAGTCAACAAGTGAGCGGAAGCAATAACTATGATACTAGAAAGGTTAAGCAGAAATGACAAGACACAATAATCTTTAAAGAAATAGTCAAGTCGGTTGTATTTTGATAACTAGTGAGATTACACAAGAACACACAGTTGTTTGTGTACGTAATTTCTCTCAACTAGCTATTTTCTCACAAGTGCGAATTCGTCTCTATTGAATATGGTAGGAGCGCGTCTTCTTTCATTCAAGATTAGTGATTATCTCCTTATAAGAAATACCCTTTTATAGGCAATTCCAGATTTTGAAAAGGTGCATTGAAACTAATTTGGTTTTAAATTACGAGAAATGCCACTTTATGGTCAACCAAGGTATAGTACTTGGTCATGTTATCTCAGAAAGGGGTATTGAGGTTGACAAGCAAAAAATTGATGTCATAAAATCCTTGCCTTACCCCCAAGTGTTAGAGAGGTTTATACTTTTCTTGGTCACGCATGTTTCTACCGGCGTTTCATTAGAGACTTTTCCAAGATCACTCGACCCTTGTGTGAGATTCTACAAAAACAGGCAGACTTTGACTTCAATGAGGTATGTAAGAGTTCTTTTGACTTCTTGAAGGATATGTTTACTTCTGTACCTATCATCCGACCCCCCAATTGGCAATTTTCATTTGAGATCATGTGTGATGCTGGCAATCATGCGGCTGGAGCAGTATTAGGACAGAAAGATGGTAAGAACTCTCATGTTATTTACTATACATCACGATCACTTGATAGTGCACAATGCAACTACTCGACCACCGAGAAATAGTTGTTAGCAGTTGTTTGTGCCTTCTAAAAGTTTAGATCTTATCTGCTTGGCATTAAATTGATTATCTTTTTAGATCATGTTGCATTGAAGTACCTGCTCAAGAAAAAAGATGCAAAGCCACAACTTAGTCGGGGGATTCTCTTGCTCCAAGAGTTTGATTTGGAGATTAGAGACAAGAGCGGAACCGAGAATCTTGTTGTCGACCACCTTAGCCGGCTAGTATTAGATGGAGAGCCAACCCCACTCATTGATGAGTTTCCATATGAGCACCTTTTCTCCATTCCTTGAAAAACCCTCTGGTATGCTGGTCGGGTGATATCTCACACCTTTAGACCAATGAAATTGGGCCACAAAGCAAGTATACAATACGGCCCAATGTCGTCTTTCCAAGTAATAAAGTGGTACAAGTACCGGATTATCGTCCATGGAGATTGTAGACAAAGTTAAATTAGAGTCCAATGAAAGAGATGATTTCAGATGACGATTTTGAAGACTTTTGTTTGATTGTAAGGTGAATTAAAACAGTAATACATAATATAAAAAGGAAGCAAAGGTGTAAGACTTAAGGTGAGATCCAAACACAAATTCCAGCAGCCAATGCTACAGGAATGCTACAGCAAGCAGTGTTTCGAAACTAAGTTCCACCATCTATTTTGAAGGCATTCCTCTCGGACTTCACCATTGCACTATATTATAGCATTCCACTCATATCTCTATGTGGTGTCCGGACCAAGGATAGTGACAAGATGATGTTTTCAAAATATATGGATAAACAAATGTCTTTGTTAAAAATCACTCTCTCGAGTCGATTTCCATATCATTCGAGTTGGCATGTTCTTGATAGTTCATCTCTGAATCTATCACACTTTGACACTTTCGAAGAGTGACTAACCCTTCGGGAGTTAAGTTTTGAAAAACATAAATGACAAGTCTCCTTGTGGACAACTTTCTTAAGTCTACCTCTTATGTCATTTAAGTTGACGTGCTTATCAATGGCTTATCTCTAAGTCCATGACACTTTAACACTTTCGAAGTGATCAACCCGTCAAGAAGTGTGCTTGGTTTTTATAAAAACTCGAATGAAACAATGTAACGTCGTTTACGAAAACACTTAGCTACTTTCGTAACTAAGCCAACCATAAATTCTTCTAATTGATAATAGGCCTTTACGTAAGGATTATATTGCTCCCAATTTTTATGAAATACAAGAATTTCGATTTTTGGCAAGTCTCATGATCATCCAGTAAGAAGGGTTGGCGACATGGGGGCGAAAAAGGGAAAGAGAGGGATGGGGTTTCTCTCGCTTTTGGCGATTATGAAACTAGAAATATTATTGTTATTGCTTCGACTCATATTCCCCAAATTGGTATTTTTTCACGAAAAGCCGACATGAGATAACAAATCCAGTCAGCCATACGGCGGTGAATCCGTTCGGGTCATAGTGAATGACCAGATTCCAATTCAAATGGAATTAAGTATTTGAATTTGGTTTGAAAATCTCACCTTTCCGTCTCACACCCAAGCTATAAAAACTTAGCTACTCATAACGGAAAATAAAAAATAAATGACGGAAAGTAAAGACATAAACGTAAATTGCGTAAAGTAAATAACGAGAAAATAAATGGCAAGAAAGTAAATAACGAGAAAATAAATGACGGGAATGTAAATTGCGAGAATGTAAATTGCGGAAATTAAACGGAAAGTAAATAACAATAAACGTAAAAGAACATAAAATAAAGAACAATAAATTAAAAGACGAGAATTTAAAGTATGAAAGCTTAAATCAAGAACTTTGATTTCTCAAAAGTTTCTCCTAAAATCAGCTGATTTTGATCTTAGATATGTGGTAAAAGGTGTGTGGAAACACAAGGCTAAGCCCCCCTTTTATACACAAAGGTTGATACAAAACAACAAAAGATTTGCCCAAAGGTTAATACCCAAAAGTTAACCAAAGAGCATCTAAAGTACAAGAGTACATATAAAGTAAAAAATACCAGATTTTAAAAAGTCTTCCAGCCATTTCCAGCTGTCTTCCAGTCAGCATTCAAAAGGCAGCAGCTTAATCGTTAAGCCCTCGCAAAGTCGTGCACGTATCAGGTGGCTGCTGCTGCAATGTTGTAGCATCAGGCTGTTTAACAAAAATTTCTCCATTAGCTTGTATCTTTGAGTCCCAACAAGTTAACCACAATATTTTAGCTCCATAATAATAAAGGTATAAAAATTAATCAAAATGACTCAAAGTGGGAATGAAAGCAAACTAATTTTAACTAATAAGACGTACAACAAGTGCTTAATATGTTGAATTCTCAACACATATCATACCCCCAAACTTAAACCCTTGCTTGTCCCCAAGCAACCAAAAGACAAATACAAAGACTCAATATAAACATAAATGCATGATCAAGGCATTAAGTGCCTACTCAAATAGAGTTATACCAAACATGAAGTTCATAGTCTTTCATAAATCCAAGATGAGTTATTCAAAACCAAGTTTTTGTGTGAACCATAGGCTTGCATTCCCTTTTATTCGTTAAGCTCAAACACAATCACATAATTAAAATCAACAGGGCTTATAGGGTTTACTCTCTTTGGCGTTTCTTTTCTCTCATAGCCTTTTTCCTTTTATACTCCACATATGAATTTTTTCAAATTTTGGGCACTTTGGCCTCTTTTGATTGGAGTGTGCACATAGTCCCTATGGAACTTTTATTGTGCTTTTTCAAAACACATAGCCCCTATGGGACTTTTATTGTGTTTTTCTAAACCCTTTCGTGATAAGGAGTCAATTTAGAGCTTTGCTCTTTTGTATTGACTTTTGTCCTTATATATAAACTCCTCCCCCAAACTTAAATTCAACAATGTCCTCATTGGAGCTTTGTGGGGTAGACTGTGTTTGAAAGGGTGCAAGTGGCTTAATATGATCATAGAAAAGAAGGCCTATATCATATCCTTTTGTGAGTTTGTGTGATCAAAGTGTTTTCCCAAAAAGTGGTTTGCTAGTTCTAGCAAGAACAAAATGCCTCGGTTGAATGACAAGTAATTCGTAGAATTTATTGAGGCTATGATCTTATGTGCAACATATCTCAACTCAAGTGATCATGCATTAAAAATAAGACTAAAAGCTATAAAAAACTGTTCCCGACTCAAAAAGTAAAATATGGAAGCTAAAGTAAGGTGGTAGAACTTGTCCTACTCCGTAAGAGTAGGCTGTGCAACCTGAGCTGCCAACTCTTTCGTCAATTTCTCATTCTCTTCAAACAGACTCTTATTATCCATCTTGATGGCCTTCAGAATGTTTTCACGAAAGTTGATGTTCTCACCTATTAGGAGACTAAAAAGCACCAACCTTTCTACAAAAATGGAACTGTTATGATTAGTCGATGATAAATAATGTTTAATAAAGCTTATCCAAACATTCTTATGAGAGGACAAATTGGCAGCCTTAAAGGTTTTCAACATGAAATGAGTGTAAGGCTTCCAATCAGTCTCATGCATTCCAAAGATAGTCATGATCTCAACCAAATATGCCTCAGAGGCCGTGTGTAAGAGTGCATCATTCTCAAAATCTATGTAAAGTGAGAGACCGAATAATTTATTTACGACTTTGTCAAAAGTAGACACCTTTCTTTGTGGCTCTATGGATGTGAAGTTATTGTCACCTGGGATGATTTTATGTTGACAAAAATATGGACTAATTCCCTTTTGGTCGCCAATGGTCAATCCCATAGCTCATGTGTGCAACTTCAATATATCAACCAACTTCTTTTCTTGATACAATTCTAGGGTAGATGATATGTTGACAAGCAATTTGCCTTCTTCTCCTAAAAAAGCATATGTTAAATGGGATGAGAGTTGTTTCAACTCTAAGTCAGGTGGTGATATAATGGACGGGGTGAAGTCTTTTTGCTTACTATTTTTCAGCAGCTCAAATGCTGCAGCATCCACTGGGACATTATCATTTCCTATTTCCTCCATTTCCTCAACATCTTCTTCTATTTCCTCATCACACTCCTCTTCCAACTTAAGGTTTTCCTGAAATCCTTCTTCAAGGCACATTTCCTCTATTTCAGTTATCTTTGAACACTCCTCCAAGTAATCAGGGTACTTTAGAGAGTTGAAGACATTAAATGTGACTTTTTGGTCCTGAAGTCTCATGGTCAACTCTCCTTTCTGTACATCTATCAGAGTTATTCCGGTGGCTAGAAATGGTCTCCCTAAAATAATAGGAATGTCCTTATCTACCTCAAAGTCTAGGATGATAAAATCTGCCGGAAATATGAACTTGTCAACTTGCACTAACACATCCTCAATCTTTCCCTTAGGGTATGCTATGGACTTGTTGGCTAATTGAAGTGTAACTGTGGTAGGTCTAGCCTCACCTATGCCTAAGGTATTGAAAACAGATAAAGGCATGAGGTTGATACTAGCACCTAAGTCACACAAAGCTTTCCCAGTCTCTTTCCCACCTATAGACCAAGGAATAGTGAAACTTCTCGGGTCTTTAAGCTTAGGAGGTATCTTGTTGGTCAGAAGTGCACTACATCCTTCAGTAAGAGCTACAGTTCATACTCGGTCAGCTTCTTTTTCTTACTTAAGATGTCCTTGAGGAACTTAGCATAACTAGGCATTTGCTCGATTGCCTCAACAAGTGGTATGTTGATGTGCAATTCTTTGAACACATCCAGGAATTTTTTTAAAATGCAATTCTTCTTTCTGATTCCTCAACCTTTGGGGGTAAGGAACATAAGGAGGAATTGGTTTTATCACATTCTTGCTTGAATGTGTTGAGGAAGATGGGTCTTGAATGCCTTGAGTCTTTGTTGTGCACTTTGGAGGTTCAGATGGAGTCTTAGCATCAAGCTTAGGGGTCTCTGAAACCTCAGTCCCTTCTGATTTTTTTAAAACATCCTCTAGAAACAGTAAAGGATAGTCTGATCTAGGGGGGACAGAAGTGGTGGTCTCAGATGCTTGCTTCTCTAAAGGTTGGACCGGTCTTTCTTTGGCAGGGACCAATGCTGTAGCATCAGTTTTTGACAAAATTGGTTTACGATCTTTTTGTATGGCCTCTGTCAATTCCTTCCCACTTCTCAGGGTCACTGCTTTCACATGTTCTTTTCCTAAGGCTCTCGGTACTTCTATGTTACTAGGCAAAGTACCAAGGACTCTATTGGTCTGATTGAGTGCAAGTTGACTCACTTGGGTTTGCAGATTTCTGATAGTCGTACTTTGCTGATTGAAAAGAGATTGATTTTGAGAGTTTTGTTGGATTATTAAAGCTTGATTTTGAGCTTGAGCATGCGCAAATAACCCTTTTATCATTGCTTCCAAAGAAGATGATAAATCAGCCTGTGTAGGTGGCTTGTTTTGAAAAGGTGGTTGAGCAGTTTGAAAATTTTGGTGATGATTTTGGGAACTACTCACATGTTGTTGGGGTTGAAAATTAGAGGTTCCTTGCTGCTTAGGTGCGTGTGGATTTAAACATGAACTATTCCAAGAAAAATTCGGGTGTTGTTTCCAACTTGCATTGTAATTGTTGGTATAGGGACCAGATCCATTATGAACAAAGTTTATGGATTCAGAATTATGAGGACAATGTTCATACGAGTGTTCCCCACCACAGCACACACATTGCACAGAGAGGACTGTTAGAACAGGTGTATTAGCAGCTTGCTGCACTCCCTGACCAGAAGTTAGATTTTTCAGCATGTTGGTCATGGAGGTAAGCTGAGCTGTTAATGCAGTATATGCATCTACATCATGTATCTCACCAGTCTTTTTCTGTGATTGAGCTCGTGGGTCGGCCCAATGCCCATTGTTGGCTAATATCTTTTCCAGGATTTCATATCCCTCATTATAGGTCATGGCTGTAAAGGCTCCGCCTGCAGTCGCATCGAGCATTTGTTTTGCCATGGGACTTAACCCATTGCAAAACGTCTCGAGTTGAATATAGTACGGAATGCAATGGTGTGAGCATTTCCTCAACAGCTCTTTGAACTTTTCCCACGCGTCAGGAACAACCTCATCGTCCAACAAATTTCGTTTATGGACTTAGCGTTCCTTGTTGATGGGAAATATTTTCGCAAAAAAATTTCTGCCATGTTACTCCACGAAGGCACATAACCCAGAGTTACAGAATTAAACCATGCTTTTGCCCGATCCCTGAATGAAAATGGAAATAAAGTAAGTCTGAGAACGTCATTTGACACTCCCAGGATCAGTAAAGCATCAGTGATTTCCATGAAAGATTTTAAATGCGAATGTGAGTCCTCCAAAGGTAATCCGACAAATTGGCCATTTGTTTGCAACATGTGAAACATTATCGGTTTGAGTTCAAAATGGAGAGCGGTCATATGTGGTCTAACTATCCCGGAATTTAATTCCTCAAAATCCGGAATAACATAATCCATGATCCTCCCATTTTTGGAATTTGCCAAATTAATGATGTTCGGAGTTTGTGCTCTTTGTTGTACATTATGGTTCGATTCTGTGTCCAAATTATTATCATTATCATGATGTGGATGTCCTTGTTGAAAGTTCGGGAATGGTGGAATTGGTTCAAAACCCGACGGTTGGTTTTCCAAATGCGGTATTTCCGGAATGATTGGGGGAGGTAACGCCATGTTTGGAGGGAGTAGAGCAAAAAATGCTCTTTGAGCCCTCCTCCTATGGTAAAACGTTCTCTCAATGTCGGGATCAAATTCAAAAATTTCACCGCGATGTGTTCGTGGCATACACCACTTTTAAAAACGATTCAAATGGTACTAGAAAAATCAAATCTTTTACTTTACTCAAAATAAAACTTTTAGCTTGCCAATACCGGGCAGCGGCACAAAAAACTTGGTCGGATGATATCTCACACCTTTAGACTAATGAATTTGAGCCACAAAGCAAGTATACAATACGGTCCAATGTCGTTTTTCCAAGTAATAAAGTGGTACAAGTACCGGATTATCGTCCACGGAGATTGTAGCAAAAGTTAAATTAGAGTCCAATGAAAGAGATGATTTTAGATGACGATTTTGAAGACTTTTGTTTGATTGTAAGGTGAATTAAAACAGTAATAAAGAATATAAAAAGGAAGCAAGGGTGTAAGACTTAAGGTGAGACCCAAACACAAATTCCAGCAGCCAATGCTATAGAAATGCTACAGCAAGCAGTGTTTCGAAACTAAGTTTCACCATCTATTTTGAAGGCATTTCTCTCGGAATTCACCATTGCACTATATTATAGCTTTCCACCCATATCTCTATGTGGTGTCCGGACCAAGGATGGTGACAAGATGATGTTTTCAAAATATATGGACAAACAAATGTCTTTGTTAAAAATCACTCTCTCGATTCGATTTCCATATCATTCGAGTTGGCGTGTTCTTGATAGTTCATCTCTGAAGCTATCACACTTTGACACTTTCGAAGAGTGACCAACCCGTCGGGAGTTAAGTTTTGAAAAACATAAATGACAAGTCTCCTTGTGGGCAACTTTCTCAAGTCTACCTCTTATGTCATTTAAGTTGACGTGCTTATCAATGGCTTATCTCTAAGTCCATGGCACTTTAACACTTTCGAAGTGTCAACCCGTCAAGAAGTGTGCTTGGTTTTTATAAAAACTCGAATGAAACAGTGGAACGTCGTTTATGAAAACACTTAGCTATTTTCGTTTGGTTTGAAAATCTCACATTTCCATCTCACACCCAAGCTATAAAAGCTTAGCTACTCATAACGGAAAATAAAAAATAAATGACGGAAAGTAAATTGCGTAAAGTAAATAACGAGAAAATAAATGGTGAGAAAGTAAATAACGAGAAAATAAATGACGGGAATGTAAATTGCGAGAATGTAAATTGCAGAAATTAAATAACGGAAAGTAAATAACAATAAACGTAAAAGAACATAAAATAAAGAACAAGAAATTAAAAGACAAGAATTGAAAGGATGAAAGCTTAAATCAAGAACTTTGATTTTTCAAAAGTTTCTCCCAAAATCAGCTCTAACCAGCTGATTTTGATCTTAGATATGTGGTAAAAGGTGTGTGGAAACACAAGGCTAAGCCTCCCTTTTATACACAAAGGTTGGCACAAAACAACAAAAGATTTACCCAAAGGTTAATACTCAAAAGTTAACCAAAGAGCATCTAAAGTACAAGAGTACATATAAAGTCAAAAATCCCAGATTTTAAAAAGTCTTCCAGCCATTTTCAGCTGTCTTCCACTCAACATTCAAAAGGCAGCAGCTCAATCGTTAAGCCCTCGCAAAGCCGTGCACGTATCAGGTGGTTGCTGCTGCAATGTTGTAGCATCAGGTTGTTTAACAAAAATTTCTCCATTAGTTTGTATCTTTGAGTCCCAACAAGTTAACCACAATGTTTTAGCTCAATAATAATAAAGGTATAAAAAAATTAATCAAAATGACTCAAAGTGGGAATGAAAGGAAACTAATTTTAACTAATAAGACGTAAAATGAGTGCATTATATGTTGAATTCTCAACACATATCATATGTCGACATCGTTAATTACATGGTCTCAAAGACCTTCCCAGGTGAGTTATCTAGACCTGATAAAGAAAAGACTAAGAGAGAGGCTTGTTTTTACATGTGGGACGAGTCATACCTTTGGAAACACTGTCCAGACCAAGTTATCTGGCGATATGTTTTACAGTTTTGTCACTCACATTCTTGTGGGGACCACTTCACCCATAAACGAACATATAGAAAGGACCTTGAGTGTGGGTTGTATTGGCCAACCCTTATGCGAGATAGTTACCATTTTTGTAATAGTTACACTAGGTGCCAGATGATGGGAAACATAAGTTCCCGAAATCAAATACCCCAATTCCCCATGTTAATTTGTGAGATTTTGGTGTATGGGGCATGGATTTCATGGGACCCTTTCCCGTGTCTTGTGGTAATCTTTATATTATTTTGGCTGTTAACCATGTCTCAAAATAGGTTGAGGCAAAGGCCACACGAATTGATGATTCTCGTGTAGTTGCAGATTTTGTCAAATCCCATTTTTGCAACAAGGTCATCGACGCTCTTTTCAAGAAGTATTGGGTTATCCATCGCATTTCCACCGCCTACCATCCACAGTCTAACAGACAAGCAGAGGTGTCCAACAGAGAGATCAAGTCCATTTTAGAGAAGACGGTGAAACCTAGTCTACAGCTCAATGACGACTTGTGGGATTATCGCTCGGCCTAGAAGATGCCTATAGGTATGTCACCCTTTCACATTCCGGTGGAATTGGAGCATAAGGCTTACTGGGCGGTGAAGACGTGCAATATGAATTTGGATGAATCGGGATCGCATAGAAAGCTTCAAATTCAAGAGTTGGAGGAGATAAGAAACGATGCTTACAAAAATGCTTGTATTTATAAGGAAAGGGAAAAAGCATTCCATGACTCGCGTATATCATGTAAATCTTTCACTAAAGGTCAGAAAGTTCTTCTCTATCACTCTAGATTAAAGTTATTTTTTGGTAACTTAAGGTCCAGATGGATAGGACCTTTTGTGGTTATTAATGTTTTTTAGCATGGTGCAATCGAGATTTGCCTTGTAATTGAACTTAAGAATTATGCGGTAATTGTGCTTCGGTAACATGTGTGTTACACTTAGAGTCAATTAGTGGTAGCATATCGGTCAAAATTAGACTCTTGTTAATCTCTTGAACTAGCGAAACACCCTAAGATTTTGAGCTTATTTGATTAAAGATATGATTTTAGTCTTATATTCATTTCTTGTATGATTACGGCGTGCCTAGATATGTACCTCTAGAACTTGCATTGTCTCTCCTTAAGATTACATGATAATTACATGCTAGTAAATATGATAAAGGCTATCGTTTGATCATTTTTATGTTAAGCCATTAGCCTTTAGCCTACCTTTTTGTTGGGTTCAAGATTAGTGCTTAAATGTTGTATTCAAGTTTCTCCATTTAGTTAGTTTTATTGTAATTAGTTTAGCCTTATTTTCTTTAGTATAAATAGTCTTTTCATTGTAATWGTAATGACACATTGATTACATCATTAATCAGAAAAAAGGTGATTTGACARCAATTATTCTCTCTCTCCAATCTATCTTGAATTCATATTTTGTTCTTGAGATTTAATGAAGATTTCTTCAAGATTCGTATGAAATCTGGACTTATCAATTGGTATCAGATCAAGCTGCAGCAGTTTGGATTTGAAGATATCCATTTTACATATTTTGCACGAATTTTTAAGATTTTTTCGATCTGATTCTTCACTGTTCTTGATATTTTTTTTGACCGGATTGGTTTTTGTGCCAAAATTGTTCAAATTTTGAGTGTTAGTGTTAAAGATTTGTATCGCTAGTTTCGGTTTTGTATTTCAAACAACTTTGATTCACACCATTTTGCATTTTACACAAGTTTTTAAGGCTAAAATGTCTAAATCCGATTTTTAGCTTTATGGAAAAAGTTCATAAAAACTCATAAATTTTCATGTTTTGATCTATTTTTTGGTAAAAAGTATGAAAGTTTATGTTTTCGGTTGAAGCTTTATCCGGTTAAGGCTTGTGCGGTTTAATCTCCGTGTGTTTTTGAGCTGTTTTGTTATAGGAAATATCGGACATCACTTGGAAGGATATCTTGAGCGGTTTAGCTAATCCGGCTAGTAAACTGGTGATAACTTGTGCGGATTAGTTGATAAACCGTGCAACACTTGAAAGGTTTAGTAAGCGGTTTAA